AAGGTACACTGAGCCTCCTCTTGAAGCCCACACTGAGCTTGTTAGCACAAAGACGCCCTTGGCAATGGCTGTGGATGTTGCTGAAGCAAGGGCTGCTAGTGAGCCCATATCCGCGCGTGGTGGCCGTGGACATGAGGGTGAAGATCGTGTCAGCAGCAAGCGCCAGCGTCCGAAATCTCCCGACACTCACGCAGGGAAGTGTGCGTATCAGATCCCGAAGGCGGCATTTGAACGTCTCTTCCGAGAAGTGGCGGCTGACACCGCTGCGTCCTTGGAGGCGGACCTGCAGAAACTCGTGAAGACGGACAACGTTCGCCCGCCCACCATGCCCAAGTTCTCTTACGGTGCTCTCCGGGCAGCGCACTACATGGCGGAGGATTTTCTCCACGGCCGCTTTGCAGACTCTGCGTTGCTGGCAAGACATGCCAAGAGGGCCACCGTGTGTGTGAAGGATATGAGGCTCGCCGCAGGCTTGAGAGAGGGTGCCTTTCAGAAGAATGAGGAGAATGCCCACTTCATGACTCTTAGACATGTACTCGCGAAGCGGAGGAAGGTGGCAGCAAAGCGTGCTCAGAAGAAGCCTGTTGCCACGTAGCTACCGTCAGCTTGATCTGCCCTTGATCGAAGCTCGGCGCCCCAGACCCGTTAAAATGTTTTGGGCCGCTGCCCTCCCCTCCACACCCTCCAACGCGACGCGTTTTCGAGGTTTCAGGCTCCAACATGCCCAAAACGCGTAGCTACTGCTCGGTTGCGAAGTGAAGGCTCCATGCCCGTGGCCACTGCCCTCCCCTCCACACCCTCCAACGCGACGCGTTTTGAAGGTTTCAGGCTCCAACATGCCCAAAACGCGTAGCTACTGCTCGGTTGCGAAGTGAAGGCTCCATGCCCGTGGCCACTGCCCTCCCCTCCACACCCTCCACCGCGGCGCGTTTTGAAGGTTTCAGGCTCCAACATGCCCAAAACGCGTAGCTACTGCTCGGTTGCGAAGTGAAGGCTCCATGCCCGTGGCCACTGCCCTCCCCTCCACACCCTCCAACGCGGCGCGTTTTGAAGGTTTCAGGCTCCAACATGCCCAAAAACGCGTAGCTACTGCTCTGTTGCGAAGTGAAGGCTGGCCACTGCCCTCCCCTCCACACCCTCCAACGCGACGCGTTTTGAAGGTTTCAGGCTCCAACATGCCCAAAACGCGTAGCTACTGCTCGGTTGCGAAGTGAAGGCTGCCCTCCCCTCCACACCCTCCACCGCGGCGCGTTTTGAAGGTTTCAGGCTCCAACATGCCCAAAACGCGTAGCTGCTCGGTTGCGAAGTCCCCTCCATGCCCGTGGCCACTGCCCTCCCCTCCACACCCTCCAACGCGGCGCGTTTTGAAGGTTTCAGGCTCCAACATGCCCAAAAACGCGTAGCTACTGCTCTGTTGCGAAGTGAAGGCTCCATGCCCGTGGCCACTGCCCTCCCCTCCACACCCTCCAACGCGGCGCGTTTTGAAGGTTTCAGGCTCCAACATGCCCAAAACGCGTAGCTACTGCTCTGTTGCGAAGTGAAGGCTGGCCACTGCCCTCCCCTCCACACCCTCCAACGCGACGCGTTTTGAAGGTTTCAGGCTCCAACATGCCCAAAACGCGTAGCTACTGCTCGGTTGCGAAGTGAAGGCTCCATGCCCGTGGCCACTGCCCTCCCCTCCACACCCTCCACCGCGGCGCGTTTTGAAGGTTTCAGGCTCCAACATGCCCAAAACGCGTAGCTACTGCTCGGTTGCGAAGTGAAGGCTCCATGCCCGTGGCCACTGCCCTCCCCTCCACACCCTCCAACGCGGCGCGTTTTGAAGGTTTCAGGCTCCAACATGCCCAAAAACGCGTAGCTACTGCTACTGCTCTGTTGCGAAGTGAAGGCTGGCCACTGCCCTCCCCTCCACACCCTCCAACGCGACGCGTTTTGAAGGTTTCAGGCTCCAACATGCCCAAAACGCGTAGCTACTGCTCGGTTGCGAAGTGAAGGCTCCATACCCGTGGCCACTGCCCTCCCCTCCACACCCTCCAACGCGACGCGTTTTGAAGGTTTCAGGCTCCAACATGCCCAAAACGCGTAGCTACTGCCCTCCCTTTCTTTCAAGTTTACCCTTGACTCTTGGCCCTAAACCCTAAACACGAAGCAAAAAGCTTCCTTTCAAGGCAGTCAAGCACCTCATTCTCATGTTTACACTGCGGTGTGCTGGCATGCTTGGGGAACCTGCGAGAGCCGAAAAAAACTGTGAACGCAGTTTGTACGTGCAGCCTGCGCGTGGTTCCAGCAAAGTTGTGTCGTGGTTCCACGTGCTTTGGTCGCAGCGTGGTTCGACTAAACCCTCCCTTATGGCCCCTCTGCTTATACTATAATGTCCCCCCCCCCCCCCCCAATGCCCTGTTCCAATGCTTAAGGCCCCTTTCTTACCTCATGTAGTGCGTTGTCAGGATGTCGGGATCCTGCTTCGGTTTTGCAAACCGACAACGGGCGTCAGGGTTTAGGAGTTTCGGGTTCAGGTGTTTGGGGTATGGGGTTTAGGAGTTTAGGGTATAGGTTTTAGGGTATATAGGGCTTAGGGTATCGGGCTTAGGGTATAGGGTGCAGAAGTTTGGTGTTTGGGGCTTGGCTTCTAGAAGCAATCTGACCCTAAACGCCCTCGTAACCCTGTCATCCCAATAAAGCTACTAACCCCAACAAACTTCGGAACCCCCTTTATCCCCAAGAACCCTACAGGAACCCCTTAGTAAGAACCCTACTACTAGTCTTTTCCCCAAACCCGAAACCCTAAGCCCTAAACCCTAATATCCCTCGAGCTTGCGGGAGCCGAAGCTGTTATTGCCGGGGCAAAGCGCAGGCGCGCGCCCCATCCTCACACTGACTGGGGGTTCGGCTATGATAGGGTTTTATAGGGTTTGAAAGGGTTGTTACAGGGTTTTTATAGGGTTTGATGGGGTTTTATGGGTTTTGTAGGTTTTTTTGTTTTAAGGTTTTTTTTGGTTTTCGTGGGTTTTAGAGTTTTTTTTTGCATAGTTTGTGTAGGTTTGGGGTTGAGGGAAACTCTAAACCCTGAACCCTTTAAAAGGGGGTGTAGGGTCTTGAGCCGCCGGCCCCAGTCGAACGAAAAAACCCTTTCTTGACCAAAGTGAAGGTTACCTTGAGGACAAGATGGACTCTGAAAGGGACGACTTAGGGGTTGTTTAGGGTTTAGGGTATAGGTTTTAGGTTTTAGGGTTTAGGGTTTGGGTCGTCTAGGGTTTGGGCTTGTGGGCCCATATGAGTCTGAGCAGGGAGTGAGGTAGCATGGGGGCAGGGGATCCCCAATTTTAGGATTCATTTGGTCCTCGAGGTAGTTGGACGTTGCTTTGGAGCACCTTCCTATTGGCAGGGCTTAGAAGGTTTGGAGTTGTTTTCCCCAAGCCCTAAACTAAAACGCCTACACCCTAAACCTAAACCCGAGCCTAGAGCCAAACCCCGAAACCCCTTTATCCCCTCAGCGGAACCCCGAATCCCCGAATCCCCTAACCGTAAGCCCTGAGCCATACACTCTGCATGTAGGCGTAGGGGTTTTGAGCTTTAGGCATTGAAACGGGCCCGCAGTCCCGCGGATCCTGGCTCAGGCAAGTCCTGTAAGGGTTTAGGGTTTCACTTGTAGGGTTTAGAGTTTAGGGTTTAGGGCTTGAAGAGGAGAGCTCAAGACCAGTGGGTTTTGTGGTGCAGCTTCTCCCGTGATGTCCTTGTGAATGTTCGTCTCCTGTTTGACAGAGGTTTCGGGCAATGATGTATCGAGTTCTCGAGTGCCCGATAGGCAGCAATGTTCAATACATGTGGCCTGTGAATTCAGTTGCTTCGCAGAAGGACAACATCTTCCTGCGAACAAGCATGTGCTTGCAGAGCTTGCACCAGCATCCGGCCATGATCTTGCCATTGAACCTTCGACCCTGCACCCTAAACCGTAAACCCACGTAGCACCCAAACATAGGGTGTCAGGTTTGCACTGAACAGCCGGGCTGATCTGGTGCCTGGTCTGCGTCTACAGGAACCCTGTAGTACCTCTTCCGGCCTTTGTGCCATGGGCGGGGCCAGAGAAAGATCTGCTGGCTGCCGTGTCGAAGACTCTTGACTTGTCGAAGATAAGATACTGCATTTGTCCCTCAGGGGAGCCGCCTGGGTGGACGCGATGCTGAGTCCGAAGTTGCTGCTGCTGAGTTTTTGTAAGCCAATGGGGCCCCTTTGTGGCTTCACCAAAGAGGGTTCCCTGTTGTCCAGGGCTGCCCCCTGCACCTCAAGCCCCAAAGATGTGTGCAGCGCCGGACTCCACCATGTGCGGCATGTGCATAGTCCCCATTCTGAACAAGAGTGGGCTGAAACAGCGGAAGTCGCAATCCTCTGGAGTGTCCAAGCACCGATGGCTGTGGAAACCGGTCGGGGCACCTTGACCCTCAACCCAAGAATAGCACTTAATTATATTCTGGGCTCTTAGGTCTAGGTTGCGTGCTCGGACTCTCTGGTCTTATGCAGTCTTGTGCTACGAAGTGGGAAATGGTTGCCGTGCAGGCTGCCGTCCCACACACGCCAGCGACTCGCAAGATGCGGTTGCCAGCTGAATGCGCGCCGAGAAATGATGCTAAACTCTCTTGTGTGTCTGGAGCCATGCAAACCCTAAACCCTGCACCCATAGAATTTGGGGTTTCTCCATGCTGACCCTGCGGCTTCCGCGTGAATGCCACGTACTGATGACTAATGGCGTCGGGTTGGGGTTTCAGTGTTGCCCCGGATTTCCAGCCTCCTTCCCCTTGAACACCCTAAATCCTAAGCCCGAATTCTTGGCACGGCAAACCTAAGCCATCCCATAAGTCCAGCCTAAACAATCCTAAACCCCCTCCCCTCCCCTCCCCTCCCCCCTCCCCCCCCCTCCCCTCCCCCCTCCCCTCCCCTCCCCTCCCCCTCACCCACCTCCCTCACCCCTCCTCTTCCGCTTGGTGGTGAGAGAGAGCAGCAAGGTATTGCCAGATGGGAAGACGGTGGAGCAGGCGCAGAACCGGAACGAAATGCCCAAACCTTGAGCCCTACCCTGGGTTCTGGGTTTAGGGTTCAAGGTTTGTGGTTTAGGGTTTTGGGTTTGGAGTTTAGGCCCAGTTCCCAACCGTAGGGGCGTTGCCAGTTTAAAGCACTGACCGGGCCATCACAGATTTTCCGTGCACTTCATGGGTGTCAGCAGAATGGTTTATCCACTTACAACCCTAAACCCTAAACCCTATACCCTAAACCCTAAACCCTAAACCCTGAACCCTGAACCCTGAACCCTGAACCCTGAACCCTGAACCCTGAACCCTGAACCCTAAACCCTAAACCCTAAACCTCTCTGAGCCAGAACACTCGTCACAAACCCCCCCCCCCCCAACATACTGTGTCATACTGGCCACTATACTACTATGGGTACACCTTTTCCAGAAAGACCCCTCAAAACTCCAAGCAGCAACTCAATTCTAAAAGAGGGGGGTCGTGGCAGTCTTGGGGGTTTAGGGTTTAGGGTTTAGGGTTTAGGGTTTAGGGTTTAGGGCTAGGTTTTAAGGTTTGGGGGTCGGCCTGGCTTACGCTTGTATTACCCCAAACCCCCAAGAGTCGCTCCAGGTCGTTCGTTCCTAAACCCTCAAAACAGAACCCTAAGCCCTCAACTCCCAACCCTCACCCTAAACCCTAAACCCTAAACCCTAAACCCTAAACCCTAAACCCTAAACCCTAAACCCTAAACCCTAAACCCTAAACCCTAAACCCTAAACCCTAAACACTAAACTCAACTCTAGACCTTAAGCCAATTCTCCAAATTCTTTATGGAACATCGGGACCATGTAGGACAGCTCCATGTGGTCCTTACTTCAGGGGTTTGTTGAAAGCCCCAAGGAATCCTGCAGCCTTCCAGGCCCTAAACTTATACGGCTGTAGAGGGTTTAGGGGCTACATGGGTTTAGCATGTAAAGTTTAGGGTCTAGGGTCTAGGGTTTAGGGTTTAGGGTTTAGGGTTCAATGACCCTGCACCCCCAACTGTGCGGCTGTGAGGCTCTTCAGGACTTGGACACGTCGCAGGACGGCGTCGTCTCTTTCGACGAGTTCAAGGCCATATCGCATACCCGATGGCTAGGCTGGGATGCCCCCCTCATACTAACAGTCCTGTGTAGGGATTATAGTACCCCCTACTACAATCCGTATGAAGGACTGTTAGTATCAGGGGGAGCATCCCAATGGCTGGGTCTCTAGAGACTAGGGTTTTGGGCTTGGGTCCGCAAAAACTCCAAAGCCCTCCCAAACCGAGCCCCTAAACCCTAAACCCTGCACCCCTAAACTCCCGGAAGCCTTCTTCTTGTGTCATGGGTGGAAGTTCAGGTTACAGTTTAGTTTGGCTGCGCATTCGAGTGTATGCAGGTTCAGAATAAGGGCCGGTTTGTGAGATCCAAAACTGTTCAACCCTGAACCCGAAGCCCTACGAACATCCCCAAGCCCTACGCTTATGTTGTACTTGGGGGGTTCATGGGTACGTATAAGTAGGGGTTGTAAGCGCCCGAATCAAGGTTATAACCATAGTTACCCGAGTTATAACTAAGTTATAACCGTACTTCTACGTAAACCCAAAACCCTAAACCCTAAACCCAAAACCCAAAACTGAACCCTGAACCCTGAATCCTAAACCCGAAACCCTAAACCTTAAACCCTAACCCTGAACCCTAAACCCTAAACCCTGTGTCAGGCCTACCTGACCAAGGAGAGCCAGGGGACCGGCCAGAACAAGAGCCCCGAAGACTCAATCGAGGCGTCTGCGACGTTTATCTGTTTCTTTGGCTAAACCCTAAACCCTAACCCTAAACCCTAAACCCTAAACCCTAACCCTAAACCCTAAACCCGAAACCCTAAACCCTGTGATGTTTCATGAAATGGGACAGGTTTTATCATCACGGCTTTTGTTTGGGGGAGATTGTTGTCTGCTCTTGTGGTCTTTTTGGGGTTTTTGGTTGCCTTTCTTGAGGGTTTTTTGGGGTTTGGTTCGTGTAGCCCTAAACCCTAAACCCTAAACCCTAAACCCTAAACCCTAAACCCTAAACCCTAAACCCTAAACCCTAAACCCTAAACCCTAAACCCTAAACCCTAAACCCTAAACCCTAAACCCTAAACCCTAAACCCTAAACCCTAAACCTAACCCTAAACCCTAAACCCTAAACCCTAAACCCTAAACCCTAAACCCTAAACCCTAAACCCTAATTGTTTGGCCTTGGAGAGTTTTGAGCTCATGCGTCTTTGGTGCCTTAGGGTGTCCATTTGGGGTTTTAGAGTGCTGGAACTGACCTTGTGGGTTAGCGCTGCGCTTAGGGCTTTACGGGAGCTTCAGAGGGGCCCCGAGCAGGGAAGAGGGTATTCGGAGTTCGGTTCCTGGATGAGGGATGTGGAGCATCGAGACCCATAGAGCCGAGTAAAAGGGGCCGTGGTAAGCTTTCAGCACCGGCCCTTCCGACGCGTGGCACCATGTTCACTTCCGACACGACCCGGGTGTCTCGTGCTGGTACAACTCTCCGAGAAGATGAGGAGATGCCACGATCGCCGATCACATCTGGCACTGTGACGATAAATGCTATCGCAGGATGAGGGGTTGAAGGCCAAGAACTTTTATGCTTGCAATTGGGCTGGAAGTCTGTGAGCTCATTCTGCAAGTCTGGGACCCTCAGCCCTATGCCCTAAACCCTAAACCCTAAACCCTAAACCCTAATCAAACCCTAAACCCTAAACCCTAAACCCTAGACCCTAAACCGGTTCCGTTTGAGTCGCTGCCACAGAAAGGTTCTGTGGCTTAGGGCTTCATGTAAGGCACTCCAAAACCCTATTGGCCGAAGGGCCGGAAGCTTAAGTCCCAACCCCTGGACAGGGATACTCCGTAGGATTTACAAGCTATATTCTGTCAAAGGCTTAAATGTACATGTGTATATGTATGTACGGCCTTTATACATACATATATATGTATATATATATGTATATATGTATATATGTATATATGTATATGTATATATACATGTATATATATATATGTGTATATATATATATATATATATATCGTTTTACTTGCGTTTGCCATATCTGTTAATGTTCAGTTCCTACCCTAAACCCCTAAACCCCTAAACCCCTAAACCCCTAAACCCCTAAACCCCTAAACCCCTAAACCCCTAAACCCCTAAACCCCTAAACCCCTAAACCCCCCTAAACCCCTAAACCCCTAAACCCCCCTAAACCCTAAACCCCCCTAAACCCCTAAACCCCTAAACCCCTAACCCCCTAAAACCCCTAAACCCCCCTAAACCCCTAAACCCCTAAACCCCTAAACCCCTAAACCCCTAAACCCCTAAACCCCTAAACCCCTAAACCCCTAAACCCCTAAACCCCTAAACCCCTAAACCCCTAAACCCCTAAACCCCTAAACCCCTAAACCCCTAAACCCCTAAACCCCTAAACCCCTAAACCCTCAACGTTGATGTGTACTTAGGGTGCTCTAAGCAACCACGGCAGAGAGCACACCGAAGTTCGCAGCCTTAGACCCTGACGATCAGATCCAAGCTTGCTGAGTGTTCAGGGTTCAGGGTTCAGGGTTTAGGGTTTAGGGTTTAGGGTTTAGGGTTTAAGGTTAGGGTTTAGGGTTTCCAAACAAGAAGCTCTAAACTGTAACCGCTACGTGTAGCAACGAGAGACTCCTCCACTGCCTTAACCCTCATGAAGCTGTAAGTAGACAGAGTTCAACGTGAACCTTAAACCTCAAACCCTCAACGCCTAACCCCTAAACCCCTAAAACTTTGACCCCTAAACGCCCTGGAATGGGAATCTTGGAGAATCTTCAGGGATGACATGTAAAACCCTAAACCCAAAACTCTAAACCCTACACGCCGAAACCCGAAACCCGGCAAAACCCTAAACCCCCAAAGCCCTAAACCCCCAAACCCTAAACCTCCCAAAAACACTAAACTCCAAGAACTCCCCAAAACCCCCCTAAGAACCCCTAAGCCCTAAACCGCAAGCGAGCAGCAGCAGAAGTCTTGGTTGCCCAGTGGTAGCATTTTCTGCCCAGGTTTCCTTTTCAAGTAACCAACCCCAAAAGTGTGCCCTTATTGGACATTCTATATTTTTCCCATTGGGTTCCAGAAGGATCACATGGGGGTTTCCGAAATTAGGGGGTGCCTTATTGAGATCCTTACTGTAAGGGAATCCTGTTATTTTGGGGACTATGTCAGGGGTCCCTATTTTCGTTTCAACTCCCATATTCAGCAGGGCTCTAAGGGCAGGGTTCAGGGTTCAGGGTTTAGGGTTTAGGGTTTGGGGTTTGGGGTTTGGGGTTTGGGGGTTAGGAGGGCCCGACAGGTGGACGTGCGTCAGAGCCTCGAAGTGGTGCGGAGCTCAGAGTGCGTTTCTAGGGCTTTGCAGGGGGTTTAGGGTTTAGGGTTTAGGGTTCAGGGTTTAGGGTTTAGGGTTTAGGGGGGGGGGGGGGAGTTGTGGTTTGGAGTTGAGGTTCAGGCTGTTTAGGGCTTATAGTGTTTATGCGGTTTATAGAGTCTTCAGTTTACAGGGTTTGCAGGGTCTGTGGTCGTGTTTATGGGTTGTTTAGGATTTGTAGGGTTCAGAGGGTTTACAGGCTTAAGGTTTTGAGGGTTTAGAGGGTTTGGAGGGTTTCGAGGGCTTGGAAGGGTTTAGAGACTTTCGGGTGGAGAGGGTTCAAGCCTGAAGCCCTAAACCTCAAGCGCAAACTCCAACACCCTAAACCCTAAACCCTAACCTTAAACCCTAAACCCTAAACCCCAAACCCAAACCCTAAACCCACTTAAGACGGTTAGCAGGACTCTGGGATGGTGGGTTTCGGGCTCAGGAGATGAAATCGTGGCAGCGCCTGCGTACCAACCATTTACGTTCGTCTTGTTCTGTGAACGGCAGCGGCCGCGCATGGAGTTTAGGGTTTAGGGTTGAGAGTTCTGGGTTTAGGGTTTAGGGTTTAGGGTCCAACAAAACAGCCAATGGATCAACGACCCGTCCCCTCATAAACCATCTTCTGGCAATGTACCTCATGGATGAAGTGTACACCCTAAACCCTAAACCCTAAACCCTAAACCCTAAACCCTAAACCCTAAACCCTAAACCCTAAACCCACATGAACCAGACTTCCCGGGCGTCTTTTCCTGGCAAGGTCCTTATGCAATCTTTGACCATTCGCCAGAGTAGTTCCGTTCAGCAAGAAGTCCAAATCCCGCAGCCAAGTGCACTGAACAAAGAAGCAGATGTGTACATATACTGTTCATGGTGTTAGGGGACATGCCTATCCCCCCCCCCCCCCCCCGCATCTTTAGCACGTGGACTTACTCAAAAATGTTTCAAAACACCAATAGACCATTAAGCCATGTACATACCGCACCCACCAGACCATTAGACCAGCAGACTGCTACACCTACAGGCTTCCCTCCATACCAGACCCACCAAGGCGTTCGACCACTGTGAACCCTTAGCTTCAGCCCACCCTAAGCCCAAACCCCCTTTTCTTGAACACCCAAAACCCCAGACCCTAAACTCTAAACCCTAAACCCTAAATCCCAAACCCCCCAAACCCCTAAACCCCCCCCCCTCCCAAACCCCCAAACCCCTAAACCCTTAACCCCCAAAACCCGAGTCCCAGGTCCTCCAGCAGCTGGCGTCCCTTGTTGGCCGGCCAGAGGCCGTCTCCTGTTGCTTGCTGCCGCCTTTGAAGCCCAGGGGTTTGGGGTTTAGGGTTTGGGGTTTAGGGTTTTGGGGTTTTCGGGTTTAGGGTTTAGGGTTTTGGGTGCTTAGGGTTTAGGGTTTAGGGGGGAGGCGTCCCTCATAAACCCCAACCATAAACCCTAAACTTCAAACCCGAAACCCTTAGGCGACCCTAGGTTAAGAGTTCACGTTCAATCCGAAACCCAGGCCCAGAGGGCTAAGCCACGAACGACTGGCAGTCCAAGTGGGAGAAGCTTGGAGAAAACCTGTAGATGCTCTCAAGCCTCAGAAGTCCTACAAAAACGCTCAACACCCAGGTTTCAATCCCCAACAGCCTACTGGAATTGCATAAGGAGGCATATTCTTCCCTGCATGTCGATAGTTGCGGGCTCAAGACCGCACTTACTGGACATCCAGCCGGGAAAGGCTTTATAAGCTATGGCCGTGCCGCATGGTAAGGACAGTAGGGGGAGCAAGAAGTGGAACGAAGGCGAGTCCAAGAAGCAGGAGAGGCAAAACAGGCGGGATGACGCGGAGCGGGTACGCGTCAGCCAAGCAGATCTCCTCCGCCGTGCAGACCGGAGGGTGAAGGAGGGCACTCAGCAAGCGCGGAAGACCGAGGCGGACAAGGATGGGGCCTCGGAGTCCACGGAGTTGCCAGCAAGGTGGACCGTTCAGGTGTCAAACGCTGTTTCTGGGCAAGACCTTGGCCAGTATCTCATGGCACCGACGGACTTAGTTCAGGATCTCAAGAGTAAGATCTGTTCTCGGGTGTGCCCAGCAAGGCCTTGGGCCGTGAATGGGCAGGTCTTGCGCGAGTCACAGGTGCTTCCTGAAGCGTATGCCCTGAAGGAGGCTGGAGTTGGAGATGGCTCGGAGCTTCAGTTCGTCTCGCTGAGTCCTATGCAAAACATAGCCGATATGGGGAGGTCTGAGCCGCTCTTGCTACCCGACGTGATCCAGCAGGCGCTCGATCAATGCAAGTTCAAAGCCTATCAGCCCCAGGTAGAATGGGTGTTGGGCAATTTCACTGTCCGGGAATCTCAGGCCGAATTGGAACAAGATTGGAAAAGAGCTTGCGAAGAAGAGCATGTCGTGTGTGAGGATCTCACTAGTGAGGGCCGATCAGACCCATGGCTTCAGATCAGAGATGGACACCTGGGCGCCTTGAGGGACGACCTCTTTGTGATGGCTTGCAAGCACGAGAAGGGCATCCTGCAATTCGATTATTTCGGCTTCAACGACGGCTTCCTTCCCCCAGACACGCCGCCTCAGGGCTGGCAGGCAAAAGACTCGCATGGTGACCTGCGAGGTAGACGAGCAGCTCCACTTCTGTCGCCAGCTGCTGTGCGTGTGGGGCCAAACCATTTCGTCAGCTGCTTCACCGCCAGTACTCAGAGTTTGGCGTTGCCTTGCTCCATTCTTGCGCTCAAATCAGAAGGCTTGGAAGTTGTGGAGGTCGTGTCCGCTGGCTCTTTGCACGGGTCTGCTCTACGGGTAGGCTTTGACTTGCTTTTGGCTGTGCAGTCTGTGAAGACGCTGAAGGTTGGTCTTGTGGCTGTCTTCTTTCACCCCCTCATGACACATGCTGCCACAACAGTTGATGCTTCAAGCAAGGAGTTCTCGCAACGACACTTTGACCACATGCTCTTTATGGATTTGCTGGACGCCTCCGCTTGCCAACATGTCGATCAGGTGCTGGTAATGTGGCATGTTGATCTTGTCAGGACGCTGATGTTCACTTTGAGCCCTGTCGCCCTTGCATTCAGGAATTTTCGGAAGCAGCTTGCCAAACTATGGCTGCCAGACTGTGAGACAAGGATCCAGAGCTTTAACCAGCTCTTGCAGCATGAGCTGGTCACAGAAGCACCCTTGGAGCCTCTGCTGATGGAGCTGCCGAAGACAGTTTGCGCGAATCCTTCTTGTCCAGCTGGCACAGACTGTGCCAAACACGAGCACCTCTTCCATCGATCCATTGCCCCCCTGTGCCCGGGAGGAGCGATGTGTCCCAGAAACGCCACGGGTGCACGTCGACGCCCCTGCCGGCGGCACCATTGTCGCGGCCCGCCAGCAGCAATCCCAAGGTGCAATTGCGTGCGACTCTGGTGCCCGACTGCAACAGGTGATCGCTGGCTTGCGAAGGCCAAGGCTAAGGCGAAGAGCAAGAGCAAGGGATACGCTGGCAGTGAGCATGAGGATGCAGGCATGGGTGGGTTGGCTGGCCTTCGTAAAATCCTCGACAGCATCAAAACCAGCACCGCGTGACACGCCTGAGCTTCAGAGCTTCATCATCTTTCGCAAGGCTGAGTGGTTGCTGACCAGTCATTCTTGATTTTCCTTGGCAAGCCTTGAAGAGGCGGCACCGATCACCTTCCTCATCATAGTATCCCGACCTTGTCAATGTCAATCAAAGGCCCTGAGCCTTTCTGGGGTTTAGGGCCTTTGGGGCGAGTCTATAGGGTTCAAGGGGTTTGTGGTTTAGATTTTTTGGAGTTGTGTTTTTTTTTGAGGGGGTTCAACTAGGGTACAGGCTTTAGGGTCTAAACCCTAAACCCTAAACCCTAAACCCTATACCCTATACCCTAAACCCCTCACACCCTGAAGCTTCCCGAGCACCTACCATGGGAGGCGGAGTTGCTGAAGCAGGCGAGGCGCCTGGCGCATGAGCACTGGATCACCACGGCGCCCGGCCCCAGCAAACTTCTTCTAACAAGAGTTCTTGAGGGAGGTTCAAGGGTTTAGGGTTTAGGCTTTAGGCTTTAGGTTTTAGAGTTCCTGAGGGTGGGGGGTTCAAGGGGGGGTATGCAACCCAAGGTTCCCTACTACTCTCCCTACTCCCCAAGGCTCCAGGGTTGAGGGCTGAGGGTGTCTTAGGCCGAGTGGGGTCGGTTCTGGGGGGTTTTTGCGGGGATTGGGGTTAAGGGCTGAGGGTGCTTCAGGCCGAGTCTGGCGTTGCTTGTGTGCTGGGAAGGGCCTCAGAGTCTCATTCTTTCTTTGGATGCCAGGTACGTAGGGTTCCTTAAACCCTTAAACCCTTAAACCCTAAACCCTAAACCCTAAACCCTAAACCCTTAACCCTTAACCCTAAGCCCGTCAACCCTCAACCCTCCAACCTCCCACTGCCTGTGGGGGGGGCCTGCAGGTGGCTGAGCTGAAGCAGCTGAACAGCGCGGCTGGAACCTCAGCAAAGGCGACCCTCGAGTACCTGGAGCTTCCCTCTAACCCCCCTTGGGAATGAGATGGTTACATATGTTTGTTCATATGAAACTGCAGCGGGGTAGCCGCAGGTAGCGTGTGATTGGGCTCTGACTCGTGAGGTTGTCGGGTTTCAAGTGGGGAGCTCTCTCTCACGTAAGTGCACACAGCACTCCTTTTCCAGTGGCGCACAGGCGCGCCGTCCGTGGCTCAGGTTGCCGTCAGAACCGGCCTAGAAAAAGGGGCCCCTTGGTCTAAGCCTATACATCACGGGTTGCGCACAACTGATACATGAACTGACACATCAAGGCTTCACAATTCGCACCACCCCCAAAAGAAGTCAGTTGTGCACATCCGAGACCAAGGGACTCGTCTACAGTTGTGACTGCGCTTCGGCCAGCTTTCTTGTTCTTTTTGGCTGACACGAAGTTGGGATCGAACTTGATACACCAGCGGCCTGAGCGTAGAAACTTCAGGAGGCCAGTCCGGCAATCGGGTCGCTTCTTCGTCAGGGCATCGCCGAGGTCCACATCCGAGGCCACCCAACGTAGTTCTCCACCAGTGCGACGAAGGTTGTCCCTCAGCTGGGACGCCTGAAGGGCTGCTCGCATGTTGCTCAAGCCCAAAAGGGGGCTCTCATTCAGCTCCACAGCATCATAGCCTCCCTTGCTGTCGGTGCATAGGATGCCCTTCACCTTCATCGCAATTTGCTCCTCGGCTTCCACCCAGTCCTTGCGTAGAGCACGTTCGGAATCGAAGCCACCAGCTCCATGGATTTCGGCCCACAACAGCCGAGTTCTGAAGTTCTGGTCCTCCGACTCCAGCATGGTTTGGACCTCCGCGTCGTTGCTTCCAATGGCCTTTCTTTTGAGCTTCCAGGTCCGCCACGCAATGATGCTCATTGCACACACTTGCCCTTGAGCACTTTCGGGACCGGCCAGGAGCGTGATCATGCCACCGGTGCTGTCGCCCTTCGGACGGTTGGAGTGCGCCTGGTCGCCCATCGTGATCACCACCACATCGGACCAGTGCTTAGCCAAGTGGAACTTTGTGAACACCAAGGAGAAGGGCTCGCGGCGCACCTCCATGATCACTTCTTGGATCTCGCGGGCCACACTCATCATCGCAGTCGTCACCAGGTCAGTGAGGAGAAGATTGCATCGGGCACATATTTGGGGTTGAGACTGAATCGCCAGCCACTGCAAGGCACCCAGACTGGTGCGGCAAGCCTCAACTTCTCTCCGTTCCAGGGGCCTGTCCACACGAAGCTGGTCTGGAGGAATGTCAAGATCCGGAAGGCCTTCGGCGTAGTAGTCCTGGTTGACCACAATCTTCATGTAGCCAAGGTCGTCCTTCAACGTCATGACATCAGTGCCAGCGTGTCGGTAGTTGCTGACCTTTGCCATGCCCCACTTGTAGGCCTTGTTGATCTTCTCCTTGATTTCCAACCATTCAGGAGAGCCATCTCCGATGCGATGGAAATCATCAACATGACCGCCCATGGCACCACGTAGTTTGGGGTGGTCGCCGTCCATCTCGAACTTGGAGAGGAAGATCCAAAGACAACGTTCGCCAAGTACAGGTTGGCCACCCAAGGACGTCAGGGTCTTATGTAGATCAAGCCATAGACCGCGAGGAGCCGTCGTTGACCCATAGATGTTCCGAAGGATCCTCATGATCCCTTCCTCACCAATGCCCAGTGCCTCTCGCAACTCCTTGACGCCATAGGTCCAGATCTCCTGGTCGGCCTCTGTGGCTTGCGTCTGCAAGAAGGCCGTCGCCAAGTCCAGACCTTCAATCTCCCATTGGTGCTGCACGGCCAACGAGTAGAGCAAATTGCGTCCCACAGTTGACTGCGCCGGACTCGCTGTTTTGAACGTGGGATCCAGGAGGTTCGGATGCTCGAAACCCAACAAGACGATCCGAGCCTTGGCCTTCTTCGATCCGTCGGAGGTGTACACGGTCGATGGATTGGTCGCACCATCCTTCTGGGCCTCAGTTAACTCTTCGGTCGGAGTCAACTTCCATGTCAGTACCCATCGAGCTCGAACAATCCTCTTCGACTCGTAGGCCTTGCGAACCTCCTCGTTGTCCAAGCACTGACGCACCGCCTCGTTCTTCAGGAAGGAGTCCACTTCCTTCAGCTTTGCCTTTTCGAACAAGGCGCGTTCACGTAGAGGAAGTCGATTCACTGACACTTCAGCATCTTTCATTTTCTTCACCAGATACGCCACAGGATTCCGCTCGAACATTTTCCTCTGCCTGTTGGAGGTAAAGGCTTCCAGCTCCAGTTCAACTTGTAGGAACTCGTGAGCCTCCATAAAGGCACTGTAGATGTCCAAGTTGGAGTTTTCCATCTCTTCCGCAGCGTGAAGTTCTTGAACCCAGTTCTGTTGCGTTCTGGCTCGCTTGACATCCGGTGCTTCGTAGTCATTGACCTCGGGTGGTTCAGGGAGCACAGAAGAGGTGGTAGGACTCGTGGATGGAGAAGCCGTGATTGGCACATTGCTTGTAGGGGGACCAGAGAACGAAGTTGCCGCTGAGGTACTGGATGGTTCGGAACTCATCTGACCATCATTATGTGGGGGACCAGAGAACGAAGTTGCCGCTGAGGTACTGGAGGGTTCGGAAGTCATCTCCTGCTTCACCCGCGTCTTGTCCTCCTTTGGTGGCTTCAGCGCCGTCTTTCGCACCAACCTTCGTGTGGGAACCACTGTCGTCGAGGAGTCCGGCATAGGTGGTAAGTCAGGAACCTCCACTTCGTCCTCTTCCGGCACTTGGTCCGTCAAGTCCTGGTACTCCCGCTGTGGTAATACATCGGCCAGAGATCGCCACGCGGTGGAATCCTCTTCTCCTGAGGTCTCGAAGACAAACTTCTCAGTCTCGGTCACGGGGCGCACAGAATGTGCAGAGCAACGAAAAAGCTGAGACCCAATCAAGACCCAAACAATGTGACGTCGTGCATCATCGCCTTCTTGATGAGGTAGGATCTCGTTGAACACCACTCTTCCCGGCCCAATCCAGTGAGGTCGCCCAGACTTCTTGAGGCCGCCGCGTGGGCCTTGGAACTGCTCCTTGGGCCACACGCGTCTCCAGATTTTCACCAGGTCCATCGCGTGAAATTGCCGTAGTGGTTGTCGAACAGTAGTATTCCCCAATCGAGTAAGGACGCGCCGAGCTCTTGTCTTCACTGCGATAGCCTGAGCTTTCTCTCGGGCAGTCACCAAGCGCGCGAAGTCGTCCTTGTACTCCGATAGGGAAAAGGTCCGCACATCTTCGTCATTCAGACTATACTCCTTGCCAAAGGCCCATTGAAAGGCTGAGTAACCCGACGTGTACTCCGTGGAGTTCAGAGAGCACCGTGAGCCCACGCTTCCTTTTCGGCCACGAAGGAGACCATGATGTTCAGGTTGTGGCAGAAGTCGTGCACGGTGTCGGCGGCGAAGGTTTTGGCAGCGTCCAAGATGAGCACCCTGGGTTTTGGGAAGGTGCCCAACCATCGTTCCGAGAAGGCCTTCAGCACATCATCGGCCGTCTCGGTTCTCATCTCCAGGAAGCCGTACTCGTACAAGGGCTGCACCACTCGAAGTTTCGTGGCCAGGTCCATGAAAAGCACGAACTTGTATTTCTTCTTGCAGCCAGAAGGAACCCATTCACCAACGTCGGCACCAACAGCTTCCCAGGCCTGATACATTGAGTGCGTCGCTGCTGGAGGAATCTGCGCCGAGCTGGTGCCTCCTGCTTTCAAGCTCTGGCATCCTGGACACTTGTGGTTCAGCGCCACCTGCACTTTCCAGTCTTCATGGCCAGCGTCCTTGATGATCTTCGCCAAGTTGCGGTTCGTGGGGTGTCCAGCGGCCTTGTGGAATTTGGCCACTTGTGCTTCCCACTTCGCCTTCTTCTCCTCGGAGATGCTCTCTTCATCTTCAGCCTCCTTTTCACCGGCCAGGATCGACATCTCCTTGGGGACCATATTGGTTACAGGAAAACCAAGTTGACAGAGGCGGTTTCGGTCCATGTCGGAAAGCTCAGGAAGCAGCCGTGTCGTATAGGCGCTCACCACAAACCTCTTCCCAGTCCAGGTTTCGCTGCAGTGAGTGGTCCGTGGGTTGAAGATCACGAACTTGTTCTGCGTGGGCATCACATAGCCCTTGGCCAACGTACCATCCATCATCTTCCTTCGTACGCACAGATGGCCATCGGGAGGATCACCTTGAAGCCACAAGCCACCACGTTGGTAGTCGCCAACTCCATGCAAGATGTTTGGAAAACCGGGAAGATTGTGATAGTCGCGGTGAGGAGCGGCCCCGCCGTTGAGACTCACACTGAAGCTGGACCAATGGTGTTCTGGCAGGTGATGTCGGAAGTAGGCATTGATGTACCTTGTGGCCTCTGCATGCTTCTCCGTGCTGTTCGTGATCCCCTTGAGGGCACCATGAGAGTAGGCGCCAAGCGTGAGTCTTTTCGTGCTCCGAGGTAGCCAGCGAAGATTGTCGATTTGCTTTTCATGTAGGCCTTGGTGTAGCAAGTCCAGCAGCGTTGCCAGGTGATGAACTTCAAACTGCTGCCGAAGACGTGCTTCGCGGGCCCATGCTTCAATGGAGATCAACTCCGCCGGGAGCACCTCGAAGTTGTCCTCGTTCACGTCATCAATCGCCTCGGATTCTTCCAACAGGCTGCTCTCGGCCACCTGATTGAGCACCACGGGGAACTCTTCCAGCAGCGCGGGCTGATCCTTGCGTCGTCGAAGAAGAGAGGCATGTCTTTCGGGGGCAAGCTGGTCCTTCCAAAAGCGAGCAATGGCCTGAACCATGCGCCAGGGGTAGTACGATGACCTCGTGGTTTCTTGGCCCTCTTGACCACAGTGCTGCCCATGGTTCCCGGCACAGACCTTTGTCCGAAAGACACGAGCAAATTGTTCACATGTCGTTCTCACCATCCACTGCTTTCTGACGAACTTCTGACCCTTGGAGTCCT